TCCTGCTGTGTACCTTAGAACTGGGACTGCCCACATGCTAATTGTCTTTATCTTGTTGCCTCCATTTAATTCTGTTCTCAATATCTTTTTAACTCAAGGGATACCAGAGTCATGACATGGAGACAGGTCATGGCAAACCACCACTGAACATCTCTTGCCTTGAAAACCCTGCAGGTTGCCATAAGTCAACTGTAACTTGATGGCACTTTCCACCAACAATACTCCTTGGTTGTATTTTTCTTAACAAAGGTATGTTTGATGTTGTCAGCTTCCAAAATTCCAAGATATTTGTAGTTTTCTTCAGAGCCCAGTGTTTTGATGTTCTTGTTTGGCATCTTCATTTCTTCTTGTTCAACAATCTATCCTCTGTTTAATGCTAATGCTGCACACTTGTCAAGGCAAAATTCTACTGCTATATCTTTGCTGAATATTCAAAATGTATTTAGTAAAGACTCAGTCTCTGATTATTACTTTCCATACATTTTCTCGAGCAAGGGAACCTTTACCTTTACCTATCCCAGCTTATGGTAGATTCTGAGCAACATACATGGGGGCATAATGCCATAAAAACATATGAGACACATTTCTCTTTAATGAAAGTGTTGTCAAGCAAGGATATGACCTATACAGAAAGCATTTATACAGCTGCCATCATGAGATTAACTGTTCCAAATTCTTTTCCATTCACTATCAACTTGGTGTTCCATTTACTCGTGGCAGTTCTAATAAACGTTATTGCATTTTTGCTGATGCCTATAATTTCTAGTGTTTTCAGCATCCATGTATGAGAGAGTGGATCAAATGCCATCTTAAAATCAATCCAAGCAACATTCACGTTGGTTTTTCGCCTTTTACAATTTTGTAAGACCATTTTATCAATCAGTAATTGATCTTCAGTGCCTTGGGATTTTTGGAAAAATCCTTTTTATTCATGTGGTAAAACTGAATTGAGCTGTAGATATTCTTGAATGGAGTTGGCTAGAATTTCAGCACTTCTCTGGTAAGACGAAAGCAATTGATCCCAGGCTTGATTCTCTTTGGAGAGCCTGGCTATATACTCCTTCAAGGCAGTCTGTGATACATTTAAAACACAATCTGATGAATCACTTTTGGGCTCTCAAAGCATTTTTGAAGAGTTCCATCTAGGCACCAATCATGAATGAAGACTTTTCAGCTTTTTAAACCAATAGTCATGGACTTTATCTCTTCCAGGCACTGTCCAGTTCTTCACTTTCTTACATTGTTTTCATTGTAAGATATTCTATTTGCTTTCCTTTCAGTTTGTTTTCCACATCTGTGATCCAGGTGGCTTTTTTATTGTATTCTTTTTAATCTTCCCAGAGTTCTTTCCAGAAGGTTGTTGTCTTTTCTTTGTCTAGTTTTTCATCTCCCTCTAGTGATTTGTAGAACTGTCTTTGGTTAGTTTGGAATTGGAAGTTTTGTCTTTATTGATGGATTTTACTGTTGTACATCTTGATCTGCTTAGATATTTGCAACAATTCTTTGTTTGATTTCTGCTGTAACTTGGGCTATGGTTTTAATATCTAACTGATATTTTTCCTGAGGTTTGCTTCTTTCATTAATTCTTTCTTATTTCGTAAATTCTTTTAAGGTGCTTAAGTCTAAATGGCATTTGTTGGGGTTTTTTCTCATCTTATTTGCCAGTTTGGGTTAGCCTCAAGATCCTCAGCTGACATTTTCTTAATGTCCATTCTCCAATGGTCCAGGAGTGGAGCAGTCCTTTGGACTCCAAACTCCTGGGTTAGCTCCTCCCTCCTCCGAAGGCAGGGCTGGCAGACTCTTGAGGCACGGAGAGGGAGGAGTGTCCCTCAGATTCCCAGTCTCTCCGGCCCTGCCTTTAGAGCAGGTTGTGGTGGACTGTGCTCTCTCAGAGCACCAGAATTGGAAAGAAAATTGAAGAGAAGAGAAGAAGAAGCACGGATATTGTGGAGGAGGACAGCATCAGGTAGCTTTTCAGCTTCCCTGTTTGCTGACGTCCCGGTTGTTCCCTCCGTGACAGAGCGTTTGTTCCTTTGTTGGGCTGTAGACCTGGGTAACCCCTGGGGAACAACAGACCAGACGAGTCCCACGATGTCGCACTGAAGACAAAGAGGTCTGGCAGAGCTGAGCGGCGGAGACGAGCGCACCGGCTCCGATCGAGGTTGGACGCTCCTTGCTGGCTCCTCGTCTCGGAACGGTGTGGGAGGCCAGGAGGACTACCCTAGAAACCACGGTAAATGAAAAGAAACCCCATGGTTCCTGGGTTATTGCAGGTGTCTGCTGCGCCCTTGCTTTTCCCCTTTGTTGATCCTTCCCTCTCTCTCCCCATGTATAACGCAGGAGGGAGATTAGTAGGGGCAGGGAAGACTAGCTTGATGCAATAAGAGCTATAGCATTTGACTATAAGAAGGAGATAGCTAAGAGGGTAAGAGAAGAGGGTGCCATAGGGCTTGTATTGCCTAGAGGCTTATTCATGGCAAAAGTGAAACTAGACCATGAGGAATTTTGGTGGGAAAGGAGGCCATTTTGAGGACTGTATCCTATTTTCACTTTCAGGTCTGGGTTCAAAATGGCTGACAAGGATACCTCTTCCCAAGCCGTGGACACAGAAACTTGCTCTTTTGACTTGCCTGAGTCTCCTTCTTCTCAGCCCACGCAGGCAATCCCATTAGGGGGAGTAGAGAACCCTGGGGCATTCCTTTCATGGATAAAAACCGAAATGAGGAAAGAGTTTAGAGTAATGAGTCAGGAGTCTCAGGACCAACGGCTAAAACACCAGGCCTGCAAGTTAAAGTCCAGGTCCTAAAATATCAGTCATATACAAAACCAGTAGAGCTTATTCTGTCCTTGAGATTGCATGAGGAAGAGAAATTCCTTGTAAAGAAGAGAGATAATTCTGTTCAGCACCCAACAGATTATTATTATTATTTTATTATTTATTACATGTATTAATCACCCTATCCCAGCTTATGGTAGATTCTGAGCAACCTACATGGGGGCATAATGCCATAAAAACATATGAGACACATTTCTCTTTAATGAAAGTGTTGTCAAGCAAGGGTATGACCCATAGTACAGAAAGCATTTATACAGCTGCCATCATGTAGATGCGGGGCAAAAGTGCCATCTCTCCAGACATTTCGTTCAAATGAGGCAGAAGAGAGACACACCCATGCAGCAGGAACAGTGTCAGAAGCCAATCAGGCTGCCAACTTGAAGTTTAAGGTGCAGATGGCAGTGCCTGGGGAAGCATGAGCAGTTTCCAGGCTGGAGAGTTTTCCAATCCCTGGAAAGTCCTTGATCCAAGATTTTCTGGTAGTCTGGTTTGGCTTATAGCATGTGGGCCTGTGATGATCCAAGATAGTTAACGGGCTCCTCTGGCACCAGCCTCAGCTTGCATTGCTGCAGTAGGCTTCATATTTCTTCAGCACTTCTCTGGTAAGACGAAAGCAATTGATCCCAGGCTTGATTCTCTTCGGAGAGCCTGGCTATATACTCCTTCAAGGTAGTCTGTGATACATTTAAAACACAATCTCATGAATCACTTTTGGGTTCTTCAAAGCATTTTTGAAGAGTTCCATCTAGGTCCAGCCTCTTAGTGTAGAACCTCAACTCTTCTGAAATCTCGTTCACTTTCTGTTCAGAACATAAGAACATAAGAGATGCCAATGTTGGATCAGGCCAAAGGCCCATCCAGTCCAACACTCTGTCACACAGTGGCCCAAAATACCAGGTGCCATCAGGAGGTCCACCAGTGCTTTACGCAGTTCAGTAACAGCTGCATGTAGAGGCAGCAGAGACTTCCAGTGATCCTATTTCATACTGCAGCAACACAAGGATGGATGTGAGACTCGCCAGCTGGGGAGCTGCCCCAATGGAACATCAAATGAAGCAGAAGCCTTCTGGACATCAGGATTGGGTCTCTGGGGAAATGTTCTCTTAGAGCTGGGAGGCCTACGTTGCTTTTCTCTTGCTAGTTCCAGAGGGACTGGTCCTACTGTCAGGTTGAGCATCACATCT